ATTATATTATAATTTTGAATTTAATTTCTTCCTTACAGAGAGGATCGTATAGCAAATATAAAATTACATATGTACAGTACGACCTTCTAAAGAGTTTTTGTAGTTGTGTATGTCTAAATTTTCTACAAAATCATTATATTTCCGAAGTATTACATTCGAACAAGCAGGTTAAAATAGTTTAATTTATTCAGCAGTGTACTTGCGCATAAAGTAAAATAATAATAAAACAAAAACACAAGACCAAAAAAACCTGTTTAAAACTAATCAATTTAAATAAAACAAAATTGACAATTTAGTAATAAAATTAATTTTTTTTTAATCTTAAAAGCAATAGATATTTTTTATGAATTTTTAACTTTTTTGTATAATACACAATATTAAAAAAATTAAGGCTAATACTTCTTAATATCCCATGAGAAAATTTTTGGAGAAAAATATTTGTACACTTTCTATAAATTTTTTTCCTTCCATTTTTAAATAAAGTTAGAGCAGTCTTTGTCACTTTCCAAGATATTTTAATTTAATCTAGATGTCCGATGGCACTGCTGTGTTTAACTCTGCGGGTTAGATAATGGGATTTATGCAGCCCTACAGTCATACAGTGGTAATTAGACCTGTCAATTTTCATTCGTTTTTCTAAATGCGGCCTTTTTCGCATCAATGAGTGCATTGTCGTTTAAGATAGAACTGCAATTGAATTGTTAATACTTCTTAAAATTTTCAAGGATTTAAAACACGATAGATGTTTCCTCTTTAAAAATAAATTCAATATTGATTTCAAAATTGCCGAGAAGCAAGAAATTAATTCTGCAGAGAGTACATTTTTCGAATATTTTGAATATCTTTAGCTTAACTTTCGGATAAGATGGAAGTAGCTAAAAATAACACGATAGCCGAATAACTATAACACAGTCTCATGATGAAAAATGTTATTAATTTTTACCTTATGGAAAGGTAGTATGTGATAGCTTATGCTTAATTCGTATAGGATTGTGTATCTTTACATCATTATCAAAATTTCAGTAGATTAAGTAATCGAATCTCTCTTTCTCGCCCGCTTCTCTACTTCCTTCGTATAGAACAGGCACATTATGGAAGGATGATAACTTACCAGCTATTAGTGAAATAAGATATCAGCTAATGAGAGATGCTGCTGAAATAGTTAAGAGAAAGCTAGAGTACGACCAATTAGAATTTCACGGTAGCTAATTGGATAGATGTCAAATGACTGAAAGCTATGCAAATGGAAATGTTATGTTTAAATGAGAAGTTTTAGAAATGCATTTCCTCGCCTATCTATTGATATATTACTGTCGAAATTATTAGTGACAGCATCAAAGAAATTTATTAATCCCTTGCCATTTCTAATCTTTAAAACAAGTTGTGTTTTCAAGATAAAAATTGTTGGAAAACATTAATAAGTTCCGAAAATAAAAATAAAATTATAATGTATAGTGTGTTTCGGAGTGATTTTTATTTTTACATGTCATCATTTAAAGTTAAGAATTTAGTCTTTGTACGTTTAACACACTGTCAAGCTATTTTTTCCTTTTCTTACCACAGGTGCCTCGAGTGTTTTAAACTTTTAAATAATGTGTCAAAACTCGCACCGTTCTAGCAATCTTTATATAAAAGAAAAATAAGTTTAAACGTTTTTTTATCTTACGCTATGAACAGACGGGAGCAAAAACATAGCCGACGGGAAAATGTTTAATCTAATCTGTTTTAGAACCAAAAAATTTATGCTGAAGGTTTGGAAATGGCTAAAAATGCAACGACTAAATAAATAAATAGTAAATTCCACATTCCTGTGGGAGATACAACGAGTTCTAATAACATCACGATCTTCTAGTGTAATTAAAAGAGGACCAATCAACCTAGTCTCTCTCTTTGGTCCATACTCTGTTCACGATAATTGGCAGACAACAAGAAAGGATTACGACCTCTTGCCTCTTATTGGTTAGTCGTTAAGTTCCGTTCATAGTGTCTCTCGGGAGAAAGGTAAACTATATATAGTCTGGAGGACTATAGCTAGAGTAACTGTGGGCAGTTATTAGAGAAAAACATTTTCCTTTCACTTCTCTTATATCCCCTGTCATAAGAAGAGCTAACTAGCATTATTGTTTCAACAGCACATTATCAATTAAAGATAAGTTATCAACAAGTTTTAAAGAAAAAAATTAAAAAGTTAAAATAAAATTTTCTTAGTAAAATATTATTAAATGATTATATATGTGTAAATCAGAGCTTATAAAAATTACAAAACTATTATTAAACTGTTAATTGCTCTTCAATAATTTATAATTATGAAATTAATATAAGATATCTTTTAAAATGGTTCTTGAATGTTTTAAAAATTAACTATAAAAAATAATAAAAGTTATTGAAATCTTTCTATTATTTTTTCAATTGTTATAATGTATAAGTACTATAAAGTATGTTCAGTACGTAAAAATATACTTTGATTCATTAGATCTAAATACTTTTGTGCAAATTTTTTTCTTGTTTTGAAAATTCGATTACGTTAACGTATACAGTTTATGTAGAATTATTTTTTCCGATAATTTCTTTCACAAATTTGACGTTCTTCACTGATTTTTAAGGAAAAACTTCACACATTCATTGAGTTTAATTTGAGAACATTTGGAAACCATTTCGAACTTTATTTCAACTTGGCTTTAATTTACCGGCAGTGTTCCTTTTAATCTCTCTTCCATCCAATTCTCACCTTTCTTCTTTTCTTTGCAACTGCGATCTGTCGGAGCGTGTGATAGTTCCTGGTGTAATTTGCGGACTAATTTTCCAATAGTCTTCACACGGAAGACCTTGTGGATCGGCGTAATGAGAATTCTCACTTATTTCCATTTCGCCTTGTCTAATTTCATGGAGCAGAGACAGCGAGCGAAAGACAGTAATTGGTCGGGTCAATTTTTGTCTCTTAAAATCCCCTCTCCTCTATGTTTGTCCGACGGAAACTGAAAAGCATTCTCTCTTTTCTCGTTTGAACTCGGTCCCATTTCTTTTGTCTCTCCAGATTACAAGGATGACGAAATTGCACATTAAATTGACTTGTGTTCTTTCCCTTGGCTCAAAATAATGTGATAATCAAATTGTAATTTAAATTATCTCTATTTTATCATAGATTAATTTTTTTTCTCTTAATCAATCATAAGTTCCGCTTGATTACATTCTCTGCATACAGTTAAAACAAGTTGCAAATTGTAATCTAATTGCTAATTTTTGTCGGGTAATTGATATTTTGTAATCTTATATTGGATAAAATATGTGGTTCTAGAAACTTTACTCTCGTTTTTAATTCCATTCGGTATTTTTTCATTTTTCTTGATGATGATGCCAAGAATTTTTTCACTTTTTTTTATTAGGCCTAAAGTAATAAAACTTGACCTGGGTCTAAGTTTAATGGAAGTAATACTTCCATTAAACTTAGATTCCAGTTGATAATATAATGTTATTTACTTTATCTACTTTTTAATAACTTTACTGCATATTTTTTCCATTAAACTGCGAAAAAATTTAGCTATAAAAAATAAAAATATATTAAATAAAAACACCCGATTACAAACTTTCACAATAATTATTTTTGAGAGCATTTCGGGTTACTTACGTCAATTTACACATAGATCTGTCGAGTTTAATTCAAAAAATATTGATTAAAAACTTAAATGTATCCAAATATTCGTGTTGGTTAGTAATTTTAATTTATTCGTGATTTAAATTAAGCTTTCTATACTTTAAGTTGCAGATTAAAAAAGCTTATAAATTACAGTGTTTTTATGTTTAAAGTGCAAATAATTAAAATATATTCACTCTTAAACTATAAATAACGTCGAAAGGGATTTAGAACTTTGTTGCAAAATATAAAAATTTTTATTTAACTCTTTATACGCACATCAGAAGATAATTTGGAATTAAAATTAGCTCAAGATCTCAACACGATATCATCATAAAACACAGAATTCAATTTATTGAACACTATCTTTTAGGTCTATAAAGCATAACTAACATTTTAACTTTGTGTCATTTTATAGGAAGACTATAAATTCATTCGTAACGTTAATGTCAGAACAAGATAAGACGTAAGGGGATTGATTATATTATCACTACGTGTAACTCCTCGACATTACTAGCAAATACACAGTGTATTCACATAATTCAAACGTGTGTAACCTTCCGGTTCTTGGATGGATCACCATAATCCAAAGTTGTAGTGGAAACTTGAAATAGTGAATTGTGGTGGACGAGTGAAGTGCACTAACCTAATTGACTCTCTCCATTATTGTAAGTTACGTGGCAGTCGTAAAGGGTTATGTAAACACAAAGCAATTTACAGAACTTGCGCTTAATTCGCCTATATGTAAGACAGTTTTAAAAACCTTACTTATCGATAAACATTATAAGTTAAGTTTATCGAGAACGGTTCGACCTTAAAAACTACTCATTTGCCTTATCACCCACACTGCAGCCGCTTACAAACGGCTGTAGTAAAGTGGGATTTGTGGACGAACTAATACTCTTACTGGATGGTTTCTACTTAAATAGAATCGTTTGCTGACTTTTCATATCAATTTGAGTGGTCACGTTATAGCTGCTTTCCTTACGTGAGAATAGTTAAAGGTTAGATAGCGCAGGAGGCGGAAAGTATCTGATAAAAGCGTTTAGTTTACGAAATTTTTGCGATAAAAATATCTTTACGTTTAATCTGCAATTATTTTTGAAAAATGCTAAAGAAATCGAATTTTTTTATTTATTTACTTAACATTCAGATGTTTGTTTAGTTACTTAAAAATAACATTAAACCTGAACCTAATAATTTTAAATGAAACGTGATGACAAATTTATATAATTAAAAAACTAATAATTTCTTAAATAATAAATTTTTTTTAAAAAATTTAATCGATTAATCTTTATTGAAAATAGGAAGATAGAAATTTCGATAAATTACAATAAATTTTATTAAAGTAAAGAAAATTTGATTGGATAGAAATCCGTGGTTTATTGTTTATAAAATGAATGGGAATCTCGCAATAAAAGAAGGATCAGGTTGAGATATTGAAAAACACTCAATCGCTGTTGGAAGCGTGAAGGCAGCAAGGCAGTTGCGCCAGAGTAGTGACATCAAAGCGAATTGCACTGCCCTCTGGATGATGTAACTCTACTCATGCTTGTTCTCATGTTGACACCCAGTGTTCAAATCAAACACGTTGCATGGGAGTTGTTACTCCTCCGCATTGTGGTTATGCTCTTCTCTACTACAAACACATTAAAGCGTTTCTTTCTCTTTGTTCAACATTAATATCTTCTCCCATCTTGGCAGCATGAGTGAGTAAATTTTTATATTTATCGTTTCCTTTATGTGAATAACATCAAATACAATGTAGTGTACATTCACAGTTAAGCTATCTTAAGAACTGACAACGGTGAGAATTTTATAAAACTTGTAAGCAAAAATAAATCATTATTTTTATTTTTTTTCGATGGCACTTTTTCTNAACATCAAATACAATGTAGTGTACATTCACAGTTAAGCTATCTTAAGAACTGACAACGGTGAGAATTTTATAAAACTTGTAAGCAAAAATAAATCATTATTTTTATTTTTTATGATAAGTATTTTATCTTAAAGCATTTATTATCATATTATAATTATAAAATTTATTTATTATTAATAATAATAATTCCATTTTTTCCCTTGCATTTTTTAAAAATAATCTTTAAAATTGAATTATTTTAATACATAAAACTAACATAGCAAGTAGAACTTAATATGAATTAAATACTGCATTAATAAAATGACTTTCGTGCGAGATAATCACTTAAATTACTTTTTTACGTAGATTAATTTACTTAGGAAAAAAAATTGTTTACTCGCGAAAATTTATTTATGTCTATAAAATAAATATGGTAGTACTTAATGTATTTAAAACAATTAACATATATTACGCAGGAAAAAAAATATATATATATTTATACATATTATTTTCAATTAAAAAAATTTAATCAGTAAAATCTTCACAGACTTAGTTGGGTAAATCAATAAATAAATTGGAATGAACGGCGAACAAGGGAGTTGTTGTTTAGGTGCTGAGGGTCTGTTAGACAACATAACTGTTTATCAGACTTTGTATGTGTTTGTTTTCTATGACGTTTTACCGAGGCCGTGAGTCCGGTTACATTTTCGGAACTGCCAACGATTTCAAACTATTATTCTTTCTCTTTAATCAACATTATGTAAAGCCCATCATATTAATTTACATTTAACGTTCTTTTAAATTAGTTAGGGCCATTATATTGGATTTTCCTACAGTTTACAATAATAAAAATGCGGCACGTTTCTACGTGACTCTAAATTTGATAGAATTAATGCGTTAAAATTGTGTAGCATCTATAACTATTACGAAAACTGTTCCTACCGGTACTTTGCTAAAATGTTGAAATTATTATGTTTCTAGAAAATAAAATAGCTTTGTTTACAACTTCAGAGCTCATAAAATACAAAAGTAAGGTCGTGTTTTAAATTAACACGAGTTAGACATATTATGACATAGAAAATAATTTATTAAATATTTTTTTGAAACCAACAAAAAATATTACGTGGATTCTCGCTTAGATTAAAAAAATATACTATATAAAATATTTTAAAATTTTAAAGACGAAATCTACAACAGATACACCTGTAATGGAATGATTAATTTAACTTTATGGAATTGTAAACAAGTATTTTATCATTTTATATTTGGAAACGACTATGTAAAACTTTTAAAACATAAATATATAACAGTTCTTTGCGTTCATTTTATATTAAGTAATTTAATATCTATTCATGAATCTTTTTAAAACATAACTAAATTCAACCTTTATATAATGCTACTTCAAAGATTTTTGTATTACTTCGAATTTTCTTATTTTCGTTTGTCATCTGATACTTTCAAAACTGTTGACTAATACTGATGGATGTTTTGCTTATGTATACTTCTACTACAAGGTTTTAGCTTTCATTTAACAGATGTATACAGATACTAATTGAAAAAATATATATATATTATTTCCATTTTATTCCACTAAAAAATGCTTAATGTACATTTCATTTTTAAAAAAATTAAATGAAAAATAATAATTTGAATATTATTAATTTTAAAATAAATTTAATTCGATAATTATAATTAAGTTAATAAATAATAAAATTAAATATTCCTTTAACTATTATCGATTGAATAAAATCATTTTCTTTAATTCTTTTATATATA